AAAATTACGAAAAAAAGTTTTAGATTTGCTATTTTGAGGTTGTATAAATTCAACCCCCAAATATCCTAGAGGCACCGCAACTGCATTGCCAAAGTCAATAACATCTCCCTTGCTTTCCTGCATCTATAGCTAGCCCCGCAGTTGGTAGTATAACAAAGGCAAAAAATGGTTTGTAAAATTTCGAAGTTCAGCAGTGGTTGGAGAAATCGCTTCCTTCAGAGCAATGGGGGTGAGAAAAGAGGTGACGGTGGCGAGTCCACCCAGTAAGGAACACACCTCCGTCAGTCCCAGAGGTTGTATTACATTTTGACGAATAGTTATAATAAGCATTCTCCCTTTGCTGGAGGACCCTATGGATTGATTGTAAGTCGTGAAGACTTTTGTAACGCAAACGGGTATAATTTTGAAGAGATATAGCAACAAAGTAGGTGGATGACTATTATTTATTTGTATTAATAATTATGACAAATGCAAGCAGTCATCGGCAACTTGTATTTATAAATTCGATTTTTCGTCCAAGATTTTTCAGTAATACGCGGCAGAGGACAGAACGAGTTAATTGACGTACCCAAGTTGAACTATCAACCGTCTTAACTTCAACATGCCGTAGGGAATTAAAAGCACTTCGTTCTGCAGAAGTGGAAACTTGTCTACAGAACTGCAAACGATCTCAATCGTCGTCAAAGGAACGGATAATACTTTCACTATTCTAGGAATCGCTAATAACTGGATCATTTTTCAAGTTAATGTAGCAAACTATGTCAAACAACATCAAGACGATCGAGTGGAAAGGAACTGCTTTTAAATTACTTCGATGAGTCGATGTTCACTGAAATAGAACGCCTGAAGCGATTCTGCTGTTCCTGAATACTAAGGAAGACAAAAAAAGCTCTCGCAACTTTTTATTGCTTTTCAGCACCGAACGCACTTTACCCATTTGTATTTTAGTCGTCTCTTTTCTCTCGTCATTTTGAATTATTTATTTATTACGTTCTAAGGTTATCTACAACCCTTCGATTTTGATATATAAGGGCGCAGACAAGAACAATTAATCACGTCGCAAAACGTCTGAAAAGGTGGACCTCAACGCAACAAATTAGTAGCGTTCCTTTGAAAGTAATTGAAACTTAATAAATGTCGGATTAGGTATGCAAATTTTGGTTTGTGAAAATCTCTTCAATTAAAGTAAATTTGAATTTAAAATTAGGCTTCGGGTACTGAATATATTTTTCAGATGTAGATGTTCAAATGCAATTTACAGGTAAAGCTTTTAGGAGTATCCCTTCGCCAGAAATATTTTAACTAATATGCGGGTGGCGTTTTTACATCGTAAGTAGCATGCTGGAATACGCGAATCTTCTGGTGCCGGTGACTGACCACAGGCATATTATGTAGCACGCTCAGTGCTCTAAGCTAAGATAATCAAGGAAACATCCTACTTTTTGGACACCAACACCATACATAGCGAATGCCATATAACAGTACCATGGATCGTTTACCCATTACACAGTACAGATCATGTACCTACTTGGGCTGTAGAAATCAGAAAATGTAGCAATAATGCTCGACATTTAATGAGAAGATATTAAAATAATGAACAATATGCACATTAGGTAATCGATTTATAATTAAGGTCGGAATGTAATCAGTTCAGTGGCCAATTCTGTAAATGACAAGACCTTTTAAGTGGTTTTGCGTTCAATCAATATATATCGGTTTTCAATTTGTAGAAGTTTAATCATAACAGCGACATTGTGCATGTGGCATCGCTCCTATTAAACGTTACTGAACTTTCCTTTGATTAACGGCCCGTTCAACGCATATTATCATCAAAATTTTAAGGGGACAATTAAATGCGTCCCATTCGCCTTACTACATATAACGTGTGCACATTGTGTGAATTTAATATAATTAATTTGGGACGGGTGGCATTATCCGAAATGTAACATTCGTCGTGACGATAGCGAGGTAATAAATTTTAAAGAGGCCATTTTGTTGTAATAGCATTTCAACTAATTTAGTTCCAAGTTACAGATTCATTAATATTAATCAATTGTAATGGGTGATAAAGACGCTATCGTTATTTCAGTCAGTAGGTACCGTTTTATGAG